TATAATCTCTGAACCAAGAGTTTTAGAGTTTTGCATTTCATTGTTGCCACATGTTTGAGCTTGAATACAATACTGTCTACAGCTGACATGATATCAAATGCTTTACATAATTTTTCAGATTATATTTATTTTAAATTACTGCCCCACAGCCTCCACTTGCCAAAAAATCTGAGTCCTTCTCACTTTTTAACACTGGTCCTCAACACCTCTGAGAGGCAGAGAAGTGCTGCTATATTTACTTCACTAAAGGGGAGGTAAAGCATAGAAAGACATTTGGATATATTGATAAAGTAAATTTAGGCTCCTAAAGATGTAGACGGTTACCTGATGGGATTTTCAAAAGCACATAAGAACCTACTGTTTTTAAATAGAAATAGACACTCCAAAAATCTCATTAGGTGCCAAACACCTTTTAAAAATCTTGTTGCAACTAAGTGCCACAGATAGTGTTTTTAGCAGCACAAGAAATTGAAACAAGGTCTCCCATGTTTCATATTAGCATTTTAACCACTGGGTTTTCTCTGACTTCCCTAGCCTGTATGACTTGTCTGAGTGGTTTCAGAAGCCTGTGCTCTCTGTGTTCTCAGTTGTACTCTGGGAAAAGGGACATAGGGTTTTGGTTACCAAAGTTAAGCACACATGCTCCCAATACAGTGGCTGGAAAGATTGTGACACCTCACAGTGAGATTCATAACAGCCAGCACACTGGGCACACTTAATGTGGATGATTAGGGCTGAAGGGGTTCATAAGAAAATATGGTGGGTAATCATATGAGTAATGGAGAGCCATGATATGAAAAGTGCATGATTGAGACAAACTGAGCCCTGCAAATTCAGAGCAACTGCAGAGTGCAGGGAGGAATCACAGTGACTTTTTCTGCATATATTTAAAAATCTGTTTTAGTGGCTTAATAAGCCTGATACTAAGATCTTCTTCTATAGTAGTGAGAGTACAGCTCTCAGACTAATGACATGTCTGCTATGGATTTGCATTAACTACTCCAGGTTTTTGTTTGGTATTTTGCATCAAGCTTGAATAAGCTGGTTATATTAGAGCTGCTTTTGGGGGAATGTCATCCAGCAATGTTCCATGACTGCTATTCAGTAGTAAACTTGCCACCATTTGCAATGTTGAGATGGAAAGGTAACACCTTAATTAGCTTTTGAATTTCATGAGCATTTAAGTGTCAGCTATTATTTCATGTATTAAGAAAACATATTACAAGTGGATTAATCTTTTATATTGCCTTATTTATGCAAAGCATTGGTACTACAGAGTGAAAGAGTTTTAAATGTCTGGTTTCAGCTCACTCTCATCATACTTGTGCTGTTTCTTTAAAAAAATGTAAATCTGCTAAATATTACCTTCACTGGTTTTATTTCTGTTTATATTTTTTAAATGACAGTAACCATGAGTTTAATATAATATTTTTCTTTTCTTTCATCTGTATGTTATTTTTTACATGGTGGATTTGTTTTAATCTTGGCAATAAATTGCTTTCTTCTTTGATAGAATATCAGTTTGATTAATTGCTATCACTGGGAACTGATCCAAGATATATTTATGATTTGTTTCAATTCCACTTCAGTGCAATGAGAGCATCTATTCACTTGGGAAAACAATTCAGATAAAGTCTCTGTTCTTATGTTGCTCAGTTCCTATGACTGTACAAAATCCAAGTGTCACCTTAGGTCTGGAGAGCCATAAGAGATGGGTGGGTGGCAGAGGGCAGCCCAGGGAAGCAGTTTTAGGTCCTTCCTTCTTTCTATCTTGATTTCCTTGATTTTCCAGGGTACAGAACATAGTCTTTACTATGGTGATCTGAAGCCAACCCTAATTCTATGTGGTATATAACATAATAACAAACAGAAATGCAAGATTCAGAGAACGACTTGGAATGGCATTAAAAATAGAGCAGGGAAAGGAAGTTAGTATTTTAAAATGGGTCCTGTTTTCTGAAAAGCTTGATTTATCAATCTGACATGGACTTGGATACAAACTTGCTAATGATAACTACTGTGAAGGTCTAATGTTTCCCTTTCACTCTAACAACAGGGCTCTTCAGTCAAATACTGCCTCTTCCCCTGGAGAAAGCAAATGCCTCCTTGACTGAAACACCACCACCACATTTCCTTCTCCACATCTTCTCACCCAGTGCAGTCATGGCACCAGACTTCCCCAGCTGCTGATGGTCTCCTAGGTTAGAGACAGACATTCAAAAAGCCTGAGCCTGAATTGATT